TATGGCAGTGCCTGGTGGCAAAGGCCTGAGCAAGGACGCTCAGAGAAATGCAGCTGAAGTTAGGTCATAGTGGGTGCCTCGAGCATCACTTTTCTTGGTGCTCATTGTGCCACCGGCTCGGGGACAACAGTGCCGAAGAGCCCCGATGGTGCCGAAGAGCCCCGATGTGCTGTGACACCCTGCTCTGCCTGGCCCAGGGGTGCTTAGAGCATTGGGCAGGGTGGAACCGCCGAGGTGACACACGGCAGTGCTGGGAGGGGTGGGAGGATGCTCATCCAGCCACTCTCAGCACGTGTGCCCTTTCCATGCCTTCGTTTCCACTTTGAAATGCGAACTAGGAAAAGGCTTTTCCCACCTGAAAAAAACCTGAACCGCCCTCTCAGGAAATGTGCGTGTGGGACAAGACAGCACCTGGGGAAAATGTCGGTTAAAAATAAAAGTAACAGAACCTAAAAAATGTATTAAGCCTGAGGGTTCCTTAAGAAAAGAAAATTAAAATTTTCTATGAGCTGCTGGGGTTTGACCCCCAAAGCTTCATTTTTACCAGCAATGCCCTGTCAAGCTCGTCTCATGCCTCTGGTGCTCACTCATTGCAGGAGTTAGCTCACCCCGCAGTCCAGAGAGTCCCAAAATCGACTTTCCACGGCGGGGGAGAGGAACCCCATCCCCTCCGGTCCCATCCCCTCCCCTTCTCCCCTGAATCAAGCTCCGGCTCTTAAGTGCATTAAGCACAACCAGCCCCCGCCGCCCCTGCCACCTGCGCTCCGCAGCCCCTCGGGACAGGGGCCACCGTCCCCCAGCCAGCCGGAGCGTGGCTCCCAGCAGGCAGAAGGGCAGGTCCCTGGGCAGATTTACGGGAGAAGTTTAGCCGGATGTGCGGACAGACGGACAGACGGGCACTGCCCCCAGACGGACGCAGCCTCCCTGTCCCGCTGCTTTGAGTTTCCAGCCTATTTCCCTAATTATTCCACCGCTGCTGGGAGTCATCGCAGTCCCCCCAGCTCTCCGGCACGCTCTGATTTATCTCTCAGCCGGGATAACAGCTCCCCCCACCCCCTTCTCCTCGGGGAATTCAATTTTCATTCATTTTTCTGCTTTGCCAGATTGATCCAGCCCCCTCTGCCCCGCTCGGGATCACTCATGGCAGCGATGAGTGGGCACGGGGAGTCGCACAGCGCCGAGACCTCACCTGAGGGGAGCATCGTACTGCAGGGGGGGCTCCCCCCCCTAAAACAACACCCCACCAGCATCTTCCCCTCCTACTTGCTCACGGCTCATCACATCTTCCCAGCAGAGCCTTCCTTCATCCCTTCCTCTCCTTGTAGTGCTTTGTTCCCCTCCGTCCTTCCTGCTGTCCATCTGTTCCTCGTGTTGGTGAGGTTTCATTTTTCGGTCTCTCTGGGTGTTTTCTAGGTCACTTCTGGGCTTTTTTTGGTCTCTTTTGGGCTTGCTTTCCCCAGCACACAGTTATCCCAGCACATGGGGAGGAGGGGGTGGTGGAGGTGCTTGCCCAGCAAACGCCCTCTGTGCCCCCCAAAATGCTGCTGGGTTCTTCCTGGGGGTGCCCAAGGAGGGAGGTTTACAGGTGATGGGTGTGAAAGGCCCCCTTTCAGGCTTTCTCCCCCTTCCCAGAGCTAAACCAGAGCCAAGGGACGGTGCAGAACGGTTGACTGTCATGATTTCCATCAGGTTGCATTTGTGAGGCAGTTTGGGCGGTTCTGGCCCCGCTCAGTTGCCCCACTCCCACCTCGGCATTGCCTGAACCTTTGTGGCACCCAAGCAGTGAGTTTGCCAGGTCTCAGCCCAGCCCCCCCAGAGTCCCCTTGCGTGACAAAACCAGCCCTCCCAGCCCAAGAAGGGGGGACACTTTTACAGGGACAAAGCTGCCACAGCCACCCTTAGGCACGGGGCCACCTCCCCTCTGGGCAGCCCCGGCCGCAGCATCACGAGCTCCCACCACTCCCCACTTCTGATTTATCCCAATAATTACTCCCTCCCACATACATCTCTATTGCCAGGGGTGGCCTGGAGCGAGGACAGGCGTATTGAGACCCGGGTACTCACCAGCAGCCGGAGAAAGCCTCTCCCCTCGCAGGCACGGGGCGTCACTAATTGTAATTGAAAATTAATTGGCGCTCAGCGAACCCCCGGTGATTTTACGGCCAGAGCGCGGGTGGAGAAGGGATGCCGGTGGAGAAAGGCTCTTGCCTGCGCCGAGGAGGGAAAGGGAAGAGGGGCAAGGCTGGAAGGAGCGAGCGCCGAAGGGGTGGGAAGGTGGCTGGGTGTGTGTGGGGGGGCGGCCACCGGCCTCGTGGAAAATTAAATTGCACTTGAGGGTAAATTGTATTAGGGAACAGCGGCCGCCTCACGCCAGCCTGAGGCCATTTGAGTAATTAGCCCCAGGGACCCCCCGGCTCGAGGCAGTGCTGGGAAGGGGTAACTCCATCGGGGAGGGCACCTTGCGGGCCTTGGAGAGGGAACCCCCCAGGACAGCCTGTCCCACCTGTGAGTGTGGCCACGGCACAGTTTGATGGTGCCCCTGTGCCAGAGCTGGGGTGGGGGCCTGTTCCCAAGTCACCATCCTGAGAGAGGGACACGGTGTGGGGGACGCTGAGCTCTGCTGCAGCCTCCTGCCTGCGCTGGCCCCTTTGTGCCCCGCCTTGGGGTTCCCCAGGTGTTGGAGGGGGACACTGCGGTGCTACAGCCCGGGAGAGCCTGGGCCGGGAGGATTGGGACTCCACCAAACAGGATTACGGAAAGTCTATTTACTAGACTCTCTTTTTCCTGCGTGCACGGAGCTTTACGCCGCGGGCCAGTCGGGGGTGCTAATCTGGGCATCCCGCTAACCCCCTTCCGGCAGCGCCCACCTCCCCGGCCCTAATCCCCCGCACCCTCCCGCCGCAGCCCCCCGTGCACCCACCTACAGCGCCCCCCTGCCCACCCCCGGCACTCCCACGGAGGTATTTTGGGGCCGAGGTAACCGCGGGCAGCCCCACATCGCAATCCCTCTGTCCCACGCAGGGGAGCAGCTGGTGGGGAGGGCACGCAAGGGGGGTTATTGATGTTGGGGGTAAACCCCCCAGGGAAATCAAGGAGAAGGAGGCAGCGGCGATGAGACCGTCCCCATCCATCACCCGGCGGTGGGCAGGGCTGGAGGGACACAGCCTCCCTTCCACGCTGGGATGAGGCCACTGAGTACCCGGCTAAGGGACATGGCCAAGGCCAAGGGTGCCAGTGGTCGCAGGACGGGGGTGCCAGCACCACAGCCCCTGGAGGAGTGGCCACACACAGACATTAAAGAAGGAAAGACAGAACAAGGTAATTTATTTCAAGGGCAGGGAGGAAGGAAGGGATGGAGGAGGCAGAGCTCCCCGTGCCTGGGCAGGAGCGGAGCCGGCCGCCCCTCTCCCCATCCTGCCAACCCTCGCCTCCCACCTGGGCAAAGTGAAGATATCAAGAAAAAGGCTCCAAATCGGATTGACACCCCCCCTCCCCCTTAATAAAGTTTATTATCGGCCGGGCTCTAATCCTTTTAAATCCCCCACGCGGGGGGATGGGCCAGGATTAGGGGAGGGCAGCGTAATCCCAATGAATTTGTTACAGGGGGATTTAGGCAGCGCCGGGAGAGCAGATGGCCCCAGCCCTGGCTCTGGAAAACAACCATTTTCCTTAATGATTCCTAACAAGGATAAAAGGGCAGAGAGAATCGGGGACAGGCACAGGGGGCCCACACCCACCGAAGTCCTGGTCCCCAGGGATGCCGCCGTGTGTCTCCCTGCTCCGGACCATGTGCATGGCCAGCACTGAACTGCAGCTCCACAGCTCCTGCCAACTTTTTTCCAGCAGCTTCCTGGTCCCCACAGATTCTCTTCCCCTCACTCTGCCTGAGGAGAAATCATGAGCCACACCAGGGACAGGGACATGCCAGCTGTATGAGGGAGGAGGAGGGGAAGGGGAACGGCTACAGGTGCATCTTGAAGCAAAGAGCAGGAGAAAATGTACAATCATAATTAAAAATACTTAAAGGATTTTTAAACCAAGTGCTCTTCCCAGGGTGATGGGGAGGATGGAGTGGGGACAGCAGGAAAGGGAGATGGCACCCCAGTGTGCCCACATGGCAGAGACCAGGCAACACAGCAGGACAGGCGTCGGCAAAAATAATTTATTCCACTAAGACAAGCAGAGAACGAGCAACAGCGCAGGGAGGGGGCGAGGAAAGGTGGGGGGGCCTGGGCCCTATCTCAGAGAAGGGGGAGACAAAAATGCAGCTGAACCCACGACTGCCGTCCCCGCTCATCAGCCCCCACTTTTGGGGGCTTAAACCCCCATCCTCCTGGCCCCACTAGTGGTTGGATTCCAAAGGGCTGCTCCTCAGCACAGGACTGGGCTTCCCAGTTTGAAACCAGCCCAGTGCCCGGGAGCTTCCAAGGGCAGACGGGTGCCAAAACGTAAACCACTGTTGGCGTCCCAGCTCCTGCATGCCCAAAAACATGGCACTATGACCTGAGAGGGGGATGCTTCAACATGTTCCCCCCAAAAACAGCCCTACACCCTCTGACCCCTACCCTGGGTGAAGTGACTGCCGTGACTGGGGCAGCTCCCAAGGGAGATGCGCCAAACCCCTTCCCGCTGGGGGACAAAATGCTGGCCCAGGGGTGCTCTGACTCAGTCCACCCTCCCTAGGGACAGCCCCCGGCTCCCCCAACCCCTCTCAGGCCATGGGAAAGCCAGGGCGGCCTTTCCGGGCGCGGGTGCGGAGGCGGAAGAAGGTGTACATGGCCAGGAGGCACATGGAGGAGAGGAAGTAGAGGGCGACACAAAGGCTGATGTCCAGGCGGGAGAAGCCCAATCCGAGCACCCGCAGCCAGGGGCTCCTCCGCAGGCCCTCCCCGGCATCCTCCTCCTCCCGGAGCAGGATGCCGGGTGCCCGCCGGCGCTCCCTGCCCTCGGCGGCGTCCCGGGCCAGGGCGACGGTGTCCCGCTTGCTGATCCTGCGGCGCCGGCCGGACGCGGCCCGCAGGGCCTGGCTCTTGAAGTGCTGCTCGCTGAAGGAGTCCAGGTCCACGATGTCCTCGCCCGCCTCCCGCAGCTTGGGGTTCAGCCGCACGATGCTGGGGCGCCGTGGCTCCGCGAGGGCCGGCCGCCCCGCCACCCTCGCCTCGCCCTCCGTCTCCTTGTCCTCCTCTGCCTCTTCTCTCCCCCTCTCCACTCGAGGGCCCTCGTTGCCCAGCCTGGCACCGGTCCCCTCCCTGGCCCCGGGGATGGGGTCGGGCTCAGCATAGTCCATGTAGATGTTGGCCGGGGAGAAGTGTGCCTTGAGGAAGGTGACCACGGCTGGCTCCTCCCAGGCGTGCACCCCCCGCTCCTCCTTGTGGCACTGGGGACACATGTCCGGCGGAGGCCACTGCAGCTTGGGGAACTTGGGGTCCTCCGTGTCACCTCCTGCAGGGACCGGAGCCAGTGAGGGGGTTAGAGGGCACACGTGACACCCTCCCCCTGTACTGGTGTAAACACACTGGAGAGTCCAGCAGGTGGGGATGGGGACAGTTGGAGGAGCCGTCGTGGGAGGAGGGGTCCTCCAAGGGCACATGGCAGCTTTGGGAAGCTCCCTACAGGGAGCATGTGAGACCCAACTGCATCTCCGGGGTGGTCTGAAGCCGGGTAACCACCTGCTGTCCCCTGTGATGGGGGACAACGCGATGTCCCCACCGCTGCACCGTGCAGCCATTTGCCAGATCCATCCAGGAGCAGGGATGTTCCTCCCCCTCACCTCCTCTTTTCCCAGGGGAAGCTGCTCCGACTCCCCTCCCGGCAGCCCCCCTTACCTGCCAGGCGAGCGTTGACCTCGTTGTGGTGGGACCAGAGCCAGAGCACGGCCTCCTCCCTGCTCGACACCCGGTCCATGGACTTGGCCGCCATGGCCTCAAAGTGCTCGGCGCACTCCTGGCAGCCGAAGAAGTGCCGGACGTAGCAGCGCATGGTGCTCAGCACCTCCAGTGGCAGCTCTGGGGGGAGGCAGAGGATGGGGGGGAAAGGGAGGGTGAGCCCAGACCTTGCGGTGCCACCAACCACAGTCCCACAGTTGAGGTGGCAACTCTGCATCTTTTGTGCCCCCTGCAAACCTGCCTCTGCACGAGATGAAGAAGGGGGGAAACAAGGCTCTGCCTGCACACAGCCCCCCTGCCCGTGCCACGGCCCACCCAGACACACCCTGGCTGAGCCCAGTTCCCCCAGGGATGCCGATACCTTTGTCAGGGCCGTTCTTGGCAGCCTGGACGGTCAGCAGGTGGAAGATGGTCCAGAGCCCACAGGGGTAGCCACGGAAGTGGCGTTCGCTGCCCTGGCAGCCCACCCAGGTCACGTTGCTGGGGAGCACGGCGGGGTTGGAGGCCTGGTGGACAGACAGACAGGTAATGCCAGCTGGTAGACAAGGGGTAGGGGTAAGGAGATGGGGGGCCAGGGTCCCCGTGGGCATCTTACATCTTTGTTATTCTTCATGGCCTCCTTCAAAACGTCGCGGGGCAGCTCAGGCTCCGTCCAGTTCCTCAGCCAGCCATCCAGGGTCTGCAGGTAAGTCTGCACGCAGGGGCGCCCAGGGAAGTACTGCAGAGGGGGGAGAGGGCTGAGGAAATACAGACTCCATGCTGGGAGCAGCGGGGCAGCCTGCAGGCACTGCTGGCTCACCAGGACAGGCACTGGGCAGCACCAGCATCCTCTGTGCTGGAGGGCAGCAGAGTCCTGGCAAGGTTTTGGTGCCTGTATCCAAGGGGCAGGGGGCTGTGCCTTGTCCCCCCACGGTTGGCAAGTCCCCTGTGTGCATGTTCAGCCTCCAAACCTCAGCCCCAACTGAGGGAGGCAAAAAGCCACTCTGACCGTAAGTCTGGCAAAGCCGATTAGCAGCTGCACTTTAAAACCACTCAAGGGAGAGGGGCCAGCATGTGCCACTGATGGATGGACAGACAGAGGGACCGATCCTGGATGGAGGGACCGAGGATGAGACCAGCAGCACACAGGAAAAGTGATGGGGAAGCAAAAGAAAGGAGCATTTTGCTAAATCTGACCTGTTATTTCTGGGCCTGTGGGGAATCACAGTGGAAGACTCAAATTCACAGACTTCATCTGAGACCTGATAGTTCTGCTGCAAAATACACTGGCACCCCGGCTCCTGGGACAGGAGGAGGCTTTGAGGTGCAATTCCCTGCTTTCCAGGCTTCTTTCCACATTAGGATTTTTACCTCTCTCCTTGCCTTTAAATACCTCTTGGGATCGCAACAGTTAAGGCTTGGACCTGCTGGCTGAGCTCCCCCAGGCTGAGCCCCGGGCTGGCAGCAATCCTGGGGATGCTGCTCCGTCCTGTGGATGAGTGCAGGAATGGCAGCACTGGCTCAGCATCCTCGGGGAAGCACCGGCACCCACCACCCACCACTAACAGCTCATCGAGGGGAAGGATTAATAGTGGATCAAATACAACCACTGCTGCTCCCCACCCCTCCAGCCAGGGAGCTGGTGTGATGGGGGTTTATTTCTTTAACTCTGTAGTTCTCATTAAAGGGAGAAAGAGCAAAGGTGATGGCTGGGGGCAAGCAGAGGAGGAGCCACATGAAGCTCTGAGCTGAGGACTGAAGACTTGTTGCACGAGTGGCTCATGTTTGGAGCTCTTTCCTGGGGAAGAGCAGACAGGGGTGGGAGCAGGGGGTGTCTTGCACATGTGCAGGGTCCAAACTGAGCATGAGACCCTCCCCGTGTGACAAAGGAGGGAGCAAAGAAAGTGGGCATGGCGGGGTGAAGGTCTGCCAAGGAGCCCAGGCTGTGACAGGGATGGGGACAGGGCTCCTGCAGACCTAGTGGCAAAACCTCAGCCAAATGCAGCACTCAGTCACAGCAAGAAATTAAACTGCCCTGCTTGTGTTGGCTCAAAGCTCCCACTCACTTCAGCTTCACCAAGCCCAACTGAGAAGAAAAAAGAAGGCCTTAAATTAGGCTCTTTCAGAGCCTGACTCAGAGTGGGAGTCCCTTTCCTGGACTATCATCAAAGGAGCCTGCAGAGATCAGCTCCTGGAGCTGAGCATCGAGATCAGAGAGACAAACCCCTCTGACCATCTCTGACAGCCTAGCAGGCAACAGCCTCTCTTCTGAAAAGACACACTGCCTCGACACCTCCTGCAAGTGCCAACCGTGCTCTGCCCACCAAAGCAGACACCCCACATCTCATTAGAAACACTCCAGCACCCTCTTTTGGCTCTTGTTGGGACTCTGGGCTGAATTTGGACATCCGCAGGGATGGGGACTGTCTGACAGCAGCCACGGGATACGCTGAGCACCAGGACACAGGGCTCACACACCCAAGGCTACCACGCTTTGCTACCCGTGAGCACTGGGACGTGGTGGCCCGTACGCTGCGCCTGCAGTTCACAAAGCGGCTCCACAGAGGCACAGGCAGTGCCATCTCCCAACACCGAAAGCTCCTCACCTTCACCAGCGCGGCCACGTAGCACTTGAGGGCGGCCAGCTGTGCTCCCGACAGCGCCGAGGCTCTCGCAGCCTCCACCCGCAGCGAGTAGTGCAGCGCGGACTCCAGGTCGGCCATGTACAGCTTGGAGCTGGGGAGGGCAGCACAACACCAGAGCTCGTCAGCCCCTTATAACCCGCACCCCCAGACACCCAGCCACAACTCGGGGTTCTCCGGGGAAAGGCGTGGTCCCAGCCCTTCGCCCGCCCGTGGCCATGGCACCCCCTCCTCCCCCCAGCCCCAGGTTCCCCGGGACGGTGCCGGGGGGTCTGACCGGTCGGCGCGGATCAGCGGGGCCACGTCGGTCTCGTTGGAGGCGCTGGTGGTTGTGTTCAGCTTGTAGGAGCCACGGGTGATGCCCGAGAGCGTGCGCAGGTAGTAGGTGTAGAAGGAACGTGCCTCGATGTGCCTGCAAAGAAGGAGAAGCTGTGAGCACATCCCTCTTCCCTCCCAAACAGCCCCCGACCCCAAGGAGGAAGCAAAGGAGATGAAGGCGCAGCCAGACAGGCAATCAGACCTGCGAGTGCATGTGGGTGGTCTGTACTCTCCACCTGCCCTGGCAGTGGGTATCCAGACACACTCTCTGGAGCAGAGCTGAGCCCCAGGCAGGCATGCCACACTACCTCCAGGCAGATGTGGTGTGTGGATGGCTCAGTCACAAGCCATTTTCCCCTCTGCTAGCTCCAGGCAGGGCTGGCAGTCCTGTTCAGTGCCCCCTCTGCCAGCCTCCCCAACCCAGCCACTGTCTCCTTCCTTCCTAATGAACTTTCCAACAATTACAAAGCAGTACAGAGATGGAGCCTGGCTCCCCACCAGCACCCCCAGACCCACCCTGCCGTGTCCCCGACTCACACAGGCAGGCGGGAGAACGAGCCGTTGCGGAGGAGCAGGTATCCAGAGGGGAAGGTGGTGACCCCGAACTTCTCCACGAGCTCCTCCTCGCTGCTCAGCACCCTCCTCACTGCCACATTCTCGTACTGCAGCATGTCCAGGGCCACCTGCAAGCCCCAGGGTCAGATGAGGGGAGGCAGAGGGATCTCCAGCCCCACCAGGGATGCAGCAGGACTGTTTAACACCCTCTGTAACTTTGCACCTGCTAAGCCACGTGCAAGCTGAGCGGGGAGCCTGCCTGGAGGGAACTTCCCTGTCAAAGGCACCCAGGAGTTGTCAGGCACCAGGGACATGTGCTCCAAGAGAAATGGGGGATAAAGGCAGCTGTACCCACCTCTCTGCCCACGAAGGAGTTGCTCTTCTCGAAGATCAGCGCCAAGTACTGGTCCTTGTTCCTCTGGAAGAAGGTGCGAACCTCCTCCGCGCTGCAAGAGAGAGGAGGACGGCAGCAGGTGCCTCAGCATCAGCAGGATGTTCTGCCCTCCCACTCAGAAGGAGCAGGACTGGGATCTGGCAGGGAATGCTGGTGCAGGTTCAGCCCCACCGAGCCAGCAGTTCCTCCCTGCTCGAGTTTCCAGCCCAATTTTCTGCTCCAGTACACAGGTTTTGAGAAAACCCACCGGGGTCGGACAAGGAGGTGGAAAACAAAGCACAGGCGGGGCAGGGCAGGGGCAGGAGGGAGCTGCACACTCACCCAGCAGATAAAACAGCAAGGAACCTGAACCAGGGCTAGTGGGTTTTTTTGGTTAGGACACAGAGGCACCAGAAGCAAAAGCCCAGCTCAACCATTGCTTTGGGAAATCCAAATGCTCCCTCCCAGGACAGTGGAACAACTGCCTTGTCTGGCAAGGACAACTCAGATCCCCAAACCATCATACAGAATCAAGACAACCCTTTTTTGGGACAGTAAAAAAAACTCCTAATGGCAGAAGCCTCACTGAGTATGGCATGGCACTGCCAAGTCCCCAGGAATCGGGGGCCCAGGAATTGCTTGCTCTAATTAAGGTTGATGAGTAGGTTCATTAGGAGATGCAACAACATGGCCCATCTCATCCGGGCCACGTAAAGGGCTGTACCCTGGCCAGGTCATCTGTCTCTCGCTGGGAGGTGGATGATGCCGTGGCTGCTCCACGCTTGGTTTTGGTTCAGGATTTCCCGAGAAACCTGCCCCCCATAGGACAGAGGCCACCAGAGCCACCCCCCCATCCCAGTGCCCCTACCTGGCCGGCTCCAGCGGAGGACAGGCAGGTGGCCAGGAGTCCTGGCTCTGCTCAAGGTTGGTGATGATGGCATGGCGCAGGTCCTCGACCGTGGCACTGGGATCTGCAGGGGGACAGGATGCCAAGGGGTCAGTCCTGGGGAAGCCAGTCCCACGGGCTGAGCCAAGGGGAGCTTCTTGGAGCTGACCCCCACCGGACTCCCCGATATCCCCCGCATGGAGTGTGGAGGCAGCGGGGACATTCACACCCAGGGTAAAAATCCCCGTGGCTCTGTATACTCACTGGTAATCCTTATCCCGTCCTCTGCCTTCTTGCTAAAAGCTCTGAAGAACTGAGAGGGGAAAAAAAAAACACAAGGGGAAATTGGAGTGAGTGTTTGGAGTGGGACAGGGGGCAATGCAGCCCAGCAGGCTGAGGCTGCCCATAGACCACCTCTGCCTCAGTTTCCCCACAACACTGCAGTACTGTCACCACCAACTGTCACGAGCCATCACAGTTCCCGGCCGAGTTCCCAGCTTTTGGAGCATCCTCGGAGGGGAGGAATGCAGGGGAGGCTGGGAGCCTGTCCAGCCAAGGGCTGAGCACTGGCTGGCAGCAGAGCAGGTGTCTCCAGGGGTCTCACAGAGGCAGATGGAACCTTTCCAGTCCCAGAAACCACTGTCTCTCTGCTCCAGAGCTTTGAGAAAGCAGGAGACAGGGGTTTTTCCCCCCTCCTGGCCTCCCACAGTGACTCCAGTGTCCACAGTACAGCCACAGCAGCAACAGCAGGTTGCATCAGCCAGGTGTTTGCTTTGCAGGTAAGGCTGGGAGCAGGGACTGTTTGCAAAAGGTGCTCGGCAGGGAGAGGGGACGTGAAGCAAGTGACTTCTTGGCATGGCCACATTAGCACACCTCCCTGCCCTGGGAGATGCTTCCATCAGCGTCCCAGGGCAGTGGGCGCTCAGTGAGACCCCAGGGCAGGGCTGGGACCAAGCCAATCTGCCTGGAAAAGCCCCAAATCTGACCCCACCTTGAGCTGACCTGTAAGCTGAGACTGATGGCATGTCTGATAAAACCCTTATCCCTACTCAATTCCATCTCAAGGCAACCCTGGTTTTAACTGCCAGGTTTAGCACCTGGAGTGCTTTGGCTTCCCTGCTTGTGTTGCAGCGAGGCTCCGTTTGCAGCGGGAAGTGCTGCAAACCGACGTATTGACACAGCTAAAGGGCTGGGCACAGGCCCAGGAAGAGGGATGGCACCTTGCCAGCCACCGCAGGAGGCTCCCAGGAGACACAGCCTCCTGCAGCATCCCTGTGCCCTCCTCCAGCATTTTGGTTTGCCCCCTCCCTGTTGCTCCATCACCCAGCAGTTGTGCTGGCTGCAGCCTGGCCACAGCTATGTTTTGGGGAAGGGCTCCAGCCTGCAAAACCCCAAAGGGAGTATTTTGGTGCAATAGCCCTGTCAATCTGATTGAGCAAGAGCAGGACAGGCCAAAAGCCTGTCAGAGCACAGTGAAACCCAGGAAGTGCCCGGCACACTCAGCCCTCACCTTCATCGTGGGGAAGCCGGTTATCCCAAAATCGGAGCACACTTGCTGGTTGTCCTCGTCGGCACAGTCGATGGCCGCCAGGATCACCGCAGGCCTCCACTCTGGGGGGACAGAGGATGAGGTCAGCCCCTCTGTGGCCCCAAAAATTGCCCTGCTCCCAACAATTGCTGTGGAGACAGCAGCGATCTCCCGCTGTGGCGATGGCACAGATCCTCCTGTCCCAAAAATTGTTGGTCGTCCCTCGCAGGACACCAACCAATGCTCCCCAAGCCCAAACACCCAGAGCCATGGTCCGTTCTGGTGTTTGGTGCCCTACTTTTCGGGCAGCAGGAAGAGGGAAAGCTGTGTGAGGCGGGACCTGGTTTTGCACGCCCTGCCCTCGCCAGTGCTGGAGCTCAGGCAGCTCTGCCCGACAGTGCCTGCCCAGCTGGTTCTGCCTGTCCAGCCTCTGCCCCAGCTCCCGGGAAGAGGCCACCAGGAGAAGGGGAGGGATGGCTAACCACGGCTCAGGGAGAGCAAGGAACACGGGCTCCACCTCATCTCACCCCAGACCGAGGGTATGGTTGATAACTGAGAGGGACCTAACCAAAACCAGCAGCCAAGCCACGGCACTACAGCAGAGCCCCCCTGGTTTCCAAGCACCCACTCCCCCTTTGTGACTACCACCACCTCAGTGAGCACCAGCAAGTCCCTGGGGTAAAACACACGGAGAAATGGGGGCACGGAGGCATTTTAAGCAGCTGTCTCTGAAAACCAGCAGGAAAATGGAGAATAAAGCTCTGATATGGCTTCTTTTTGGTGTAAAGGACACAGGCTGGAGAACACTCAGCCTCTCTCTAGAGCGGGACAGGGAGGGACGCAGCGCCAGCACATGGATAGAGCCCGTGCCTCCCCAGGCTGGAGGTGGAGACCTGCTGGGACCTTCCTGTGTCTCAGGTGACAGGGCAGGTGAGCCGCTTCCCACTGCCCCGGCACCCGTGGCACAGGAGGGCTGGTGACAAGCCCTGCTGCACGGAGCCAGGCACGTTCCTGGAGTCATCCGCACGTGGTGCCCGCGGGTCACCCGGGCATCCTCCCCGCCCAGCCCACTCCTACGGAAATCCACCCTTGGGAACGGGCAGCGAGGATGCTGAGCAGCACGGGGGCGGCTTCCCCGCCCTGCCGCCACGGGCACACCGTCCGCGGTCCAGCCTCCCGAGCGGGGAGCCCTGGGGGAACCCTGTTCCCCCTGGAGAGGGGCCAGGAGAGCCGGCGTTCTCCCCGCGGGGCCCGGGCACGCACCCCATTCCTCACATCCTGCCCCGCTGGGGAGCGCTGACGGCATCCCCGGGGAGGGACGGCATCCC